GTCGTCGGCAGCTTCAAAGTCAGAAACAATTGCATCACTGAAGATGCAGATACCACCGACCTTGGCACCCATCATTTCAGGGTGCATGTTCATGAAATCCATGGCGCCGCCTGGACCTGAAAAGTATACATGCATTAAGCACCGTCAGTTCTGCAGTTTCTTTGGACTGGATGTCTTTCTTCAAATTCGTTGTCCCATGTTGTCCCTTTGGTTTGCCAGGAGGCCTTCTTGCAAGGCAGCAGCCACGCCCCTGAGGCAGGGCCACCCGATGATCATCCCCTAGTCATCATGAAGCACCCCAAAACCTCCGCCACCTCACCACCCCGCCACCCCATGCTGTCCAGCGTGTGCACAAACACCGCAAGCCGCCGCGCATGTCCACGCATTCCACGCAGTGGCCACCGTTGCACCGGGCACCACTGCAGGTGCCGGGCGGCTTTAAGGACTACAAGGCCAACGGCAAGAGCTTCGGTGCTGGGGCGCTCGGTGTTCGTTCACGCGAGAGAGACACAACCGGCGAACGGACACTAGCGGTTTGGGAAGAGAGGTTTCTCCGAAAAGGTGGGGTTTGCGCAACACACGAGGAGAGGAGAATTTGGTGCGAGAGCCAGGAAATTGAACCGCGCGAGAGAGAGAGAGAGACGGTTCAATGTCGACGATGATCGATCAGGTGCTCCAATGTTCTCTGAAACAAACAGCTAGTGCTCTCCATCCCAAGCCAAGCAACCGTTTGGACTTGTTTTGATCCTGACTCGAACATACTCGAACCAAATACTTCAAATCATCCAATCATCCAAATGCCAGAACTCCCCAAACCGCATCTAGGCAGGCTGCCCTGCCACTCCACAGCCACCTCTGGCCCCCCCAAAAAGCCTCCCAGTCACGTTCCCAAAAAAGCGGTCGGCCGGGCACGTTTCGAGGTGATGACCATGCTCCAGCAGTTGGTGGATGATGCAGCAGCCATGGAGGCCGAGGCCGTGCGGGCGGAGAAGAGTGGGGAGCCCTAAGAAGCATCATGAAGGAAGAAATGATCTCATCCGAAGATACTCATGAAGGACTGTACACTGCTGAACTTTTCTGTGCGAAGGATTCGATGGACATCATAGGTGGCATATGGTTACATGCTTTTCACAGAACGTATTTAATTGCTCCTTGGCCCGGGCTTCTAAGACCAGTACTTGTCATCGTTTCGCTGTTTGACCATGAACTTTGGGCTTTGCAACTTGTCAAAAACATTCGATGAACCAAGTTTCAAAGCATTGACGATCTACACATCCTGGACGGACCAAAAAATGCGGCTTGGTGTTCAAGCTGTGTTCAACTCCAAGTGGATGTAGATGACCATATCGCCGGAAACAGTTCTTTCCACACATTTTCTTTGGAAGAATTTCTCTTGGGCATCCTGGCGTGCTGCAATGGCTAGCCATTAGCCCTCTGAAACACTCCCAAGGTGCTGAGGCACTCTCTAAGACCTCTCCACTTTGTTTGCGCTGAGACAACTCTGCAAGACCAAACTACAACTGGACAGGTGCAAAATTGTTGTTTCAACATTGTTTCAGAGAAGGATTTGTTGATCTTTTGACACTAAATGCATCTAAATGCTGGTTCGCAACTCTTGTCCTGACTGTCCTACCTTTGTGTACAATGGGTATAGTCACCGCTCTGTTCCACCCTCATCGTTGTCGGCTCGGCCGACTCCACGCGCGGTCTCCACTCGGAGCTCAGGTGCTCAGAGTGCCTACGAGGCCTTTGCCAAAGACACCACCGTGTCCATCGCCAAGAAGGACCGTGACCGGCTGACGAGATGGCTTTTTGTGGTGAAGTCCAAAGGGTGATGGGTTCAAGCCGAGAATTGGGAAGACATGGGGGAGAGACATGGGGGAAGAGAATCGGAGACAAACATGCTATCCAACTGCCCAACTCCTTGTCTCTGCAAGACACAGTGCCCATATCTCTCTTCTTCCACTAGGAAGCATCGATTATGAACAAGAAGGCGCACAAAGCCAAGCTCGAGCAGGCGATTCGCCACGTTCACGTCTCCGTTTCACGTCGTGGAGATGAACGAACGATCACGAACGATCATGAACGATCACGTCGAGTGGCGCCATGTTTGTCCATAGTTCGGATATCTTTGGATTTGGTGTCCCATTGGGGTGCCGGAGTCGGAGATGGCAAAAGGACCAGACACTTGGAGATCCTAAATGATATTGAAGCCTTATTGCTTCAAGATACCCCCCCCTTCGACTGTATACCCGCGACGGCGCGTTTTCTCGGCGATCACCACGGCGTGGCCGTGTGGCACTGGGTCATCCGCCGTCCTAAACGGACTCCAAAGTGGATGGGACGCTCCGGGAAGCTCAGAGCAACCCTTTGGGGGTCAGTTTAGGAATGCATTCTCATCCAAGGTGGTATTCCTTCCCGGTATTCCTTCCAGTGGATGGAAAGCTCGGATCCTTTTGCTTTGGGAAGGAAGACATGGGATTCCCTCAAGCACTGAACCACCATGTGGAAGGGCTTTTAAGCTCCGAGAGAGCTCCGATCGGTCTTCTCTTTCTTTTTGGTCGACGGCCTGTGGTGGGGATCGAGAACAATGACCATCATGCCATCCATACGGTTCTGAGAATCATGAAACACTGACACGTGAGCCAACCATGAGAATGAACGCGGGAATCGAGTTTCGTCCCAGGTTTTACATGTCCAACCCTTTCAAAGAAAGAAGACAATACAAAGCTTCTTGGTGGTTTCAATCAAGGGTTTTAGATGTTGAAATGTTGAACATTATCAATCTAAAACTCAAACCTGCCAGACCAGTCATCGCTTGTCATCCCACGCTTGTTGTCGCCGACTCTCCTTTGGGCAGCTTTGCCTTGGCGCCGACTGCGTCCCCCGGTGGTGCTCGTCCCACCGTGCGACCCCGCCGGTCCTCCTCGTCGCAGACCTTGGTGCAGACGCGGCAGAGCCGGGAGGGACATGAGAGGGAGCTGGAGACGTTGGAGGGCAAGAAGATGGACCTTCATGTGCCTTGGACACAACATGAGAGGTTGGGATGACGTGTTTTTCTTTTGGGGGGGCGGTTTCTTTTTGGCTGGGTGGATTTTGGATGTGTTGGATACAGTATATAGATGTTTAAACGATATTTGGAGCATACGGCTGCGGTTTATAGTAGCATGTTCGGTGGTTTGATGCGGCTGTGTCGTTTGTTTTGGTGACTTCTGTGACAGCTGCTTGGGGGTTCTCCGTGGCAGCCCAAGGTGACACCATCAGAAAAGCTTCACCCGGGTGGGTCTTCTGGTGATCCACTAGACATCCATTCACCCAAATTGGTCATGTCAGGGATGAAGCGGAAAAGATTGGCATTGATGGCGGCCATGGAAACACTCACCAACGAGTTCCAGTTGGAAGGCGAACGGCCTTGGAAACACGAAACAGAAAAAGAAAACGGTCCACCCCCCACCCCGCCCTCCACGGCCCCTCACGTCGAGGAGAGCTGCGATTGGCTCTTGAAGAACTTCGACGCGCGGCAGAGTGCCCGCGAGGAGGACCGACGGTCGCGCCCGTCTCGAGCGTCGACGGCGATCCGGGACGAGAAGACGAGTGTCGGGTGAAAGGAGAACGACGTGTTTCCTGGTTCACCACGTTTGGCTGCCCAGCCAAGGGGTCTGGTTTTTCGTTGTTGGAACGAATACGTAATTCTGTCAAGTGTTAAGATGTGTTAAGGTTTCGACCCATCCTCAGAGGATGTGGGAACAGCGGAACATGCTTCTGTTCTAAGTACGTAGGTTGCCAGCTGGTTGGATCGCTTCCTACTCCAACGCGTCCAACGCATTGCGTCAAGTGATTCTCAGCGACCTTAGTTCGACCCACAGTATCTGATTCGGGAGCCTGATGGAATCCTAGTCAAGATGTTATATATGAGCTGAATTCTTCATCATTCTTCCAATCTTCCGTGCGATCCTGGGTTTTGACCCGATCTTGAACTCTTCCGCGTGATCGTGAAATCGACCGCTGCAGGAAGTCGACTCTGTCAAGAAGGCCAAGGCCATTCTTTCAGGCGGAGATGTGGCGGCTGCGGGAACTGCACATCAGACATTAAGGGTGACCCAAAGGGAAAAAGACACACAGTTATGTTATAATCAATGATATAGATTCGGACGCTACTAGGGGTTCCTGGCCTCACTACTAGCAGCAAGGACGCTACTAAGAGCAAAGGGCATCAGGAGGATTAGGGCTAGGGTGTCCATCCCAAGCTAGACTGCTGCATGTCCGCTCAGTCTTCTCGTGAGATGAATCGACAAATGTCGCCAGGCCGGCCAGGCACTGTAGTTCTATCGAGTTCCCCTCAAATCCATTTTCAGAATTTCCGTTGAAGTGCAACTTGGATGGATGGAAACTACATTGACGCGAAACTACAACACTTCGGTTTTCCGAGGATAACATAGGACACTCTAATTTATTTGGTAGTGGTAGTCCTGATGTAGGAAAGAGAGGCGGGTTTTGGATGGTTTTGGCCTTCTTCACGACATGTCAGCTTTGGATAGCCGTAGACGCCGTAGACTCAAACCACTGGCATCGCCACATGCTGGCTTAGTGTATCCGTCCCCGTCCGCTTTGGCGGATTCAGATGCTACTTAAGTGCCAGGATCCAGAGATCCAGCCCATTTCTTTATTCCATCTCTTTAGCCCATTTCTTTAGCCCATCTCTTTAGCAATCAATACATGGTGCCCATCTCTTTGGCGACAGAGCCTTTGTTGCCAGGTGCGAGCTTTGCTGAGATCCAGCTGGACTGATGCCCCGTAGAAGGAGCGAGTCCGATCGTTCCGTTCCGGGAGCAAAAGCATCGCTTACATGGGCGACCGTGCATGCGTTTATGGTGCAGTGGGTTTGGCACGACCTCTGACTCAAATGTTGCAGGCATACATGTTGACATCTCTAGTGCATCAATGGCGAGGTGTTTAGGGTTGCAGCAAGAGATCGTGTTGGACATCACACCTCTTCTTGCAGCGGCTCAAGCAGCTGGGACCACCGGAAAACGTCGGCGGTTCCAGCAGCTGACCCCCGATCCATTGAAGTCATGCAGGCGTTGAGGGACTTGGATTCGCGGGTGGAGTGACCTGGGTGGGTCTGTGCCAGGGTTGGACCCTAAGATGGCTTGAGATGGCCAAGATGTGGAGAGAAGGTTGCTGACGATAAGCAGGGGAGTATAATTGATCACTGTAGCTGCAGCCAGACTGGCTGTTGATGGGCTTTTGGACTGTTGGAATAACCAGAGCGGAAGCCGCACCATCAATGAAACATATCAGGAGTCCATCGTCCGGACACAGAATAGTTGCCAAGTTGCCTCTGGAGTTTCTTGGGCAGCGAAGTCAAGTGACGTCGCATCAGCGCGAATAGGTTCTGCAAAGACCCCACGGATGAACATCATCACTGACTGCTGCAAGGCAACATCAAATCATAACCTTTATAGCAACCACCACACACTTGGTTATATAATCTTGGGTTATATGCGTTGTATCTCAACAACAAAGTCAGGTTCCAACTAGCAGTGCTGTTGACTTGAGCGAGATTGACCATCCCTTCCTACGTGTTAAGTTGTGCATCCGGCCGTAGGCGCCAAACGCGGTGGTCCAAAGCCCAAGTCAACGCCGGAGGGATGATGCAAAGTTTGTTTAGCGGCTCCAGATGCTTTCCATACTCGGCATGATTTTTTGCGACATGTTGTTTGAATATTTTGAATAGTAATTGACAACCTCAACTTCATTTCTTTTGCTCTTCTGCCTGATCCCTTTGATTGAAACAACCAACCAAACGAGAGATTCAGTCTGTTGTTGTGGAGCTGACTACCCTAAAGATCAGACACAAGAATGGAAGAAGACCTTAGTGGACCTCTGTCGATGCTGGTGTCGCCTCTGTCGATGCAGAAAAAACATGCCGCGTGCGTGGGAAAAACTCACCGAGGCGGTGTTGGTGTTGCTGGTGACATGTCTCTGGTCCAGCAACTCCCTGAAGACTTTCGAGGCGGAGGACTGTCGTCGGTGCAAGAGGCTTTGCCGGTTTGCCACTGAGTGGTGTGCCGGAAAGATGTGCATGCAAAGCGAAGGTTCGAGACTGGGTGCAAGCTGGTGGAAAGAAACACAACTCGCATGTTGGTGCATGAACATGCAGTACGCAAGATACCATTTTTCCGCGGTATAGCGGAACTAGCTGAACATCCCATGGATGGTTTCGACATTGGACTTTGGAGTTACCATGCAGATGGATTCCAATACAGATGGATTTGTATGGATTCCTTTTCGATGTGAACTCCTTTCCGCGTCGGCAGGAGGTGGCGGAACGACCCGTCACCAAGGTGGGACGTGGGGTCTCGAGGTGGCGGGACGCTGTGGAAAGCGGGAGATGGGGTTCTGTTGAGGTGGCAAGATTGAGATGGTTTTCGTGAATGCATCCAAACTCGGTTCTCGTTCGGAACATACACATCATGCACTCGGATTCGCTGGCGGGTTGGAGTTTCATTCTGATCCCGGATCTCATGCTTTCGCAGGTCTTGAACCTCCTGCAGGGCATGAAAAAGCAATTGGAGACCGAGGCAGGCAAGATCCGGCGACCGCTCGTCGGGGCCGGCAGAGACCGCTCGGAGTGGACACAGACCGTCCCTGGGTGGACGGTTCCCACAGCTGGATGGGTCTTTGATATTCTGACTTGTGCTTAGTAGGGAAACGAAGGGAATGAGGGTGATCCAATAGAATCTCTATTGGGGGCTTATTCCCTTATTCCCTACGAGTCACGCCAGTCAGTTTTGTTTGCATGAAAGGATCCAGTATTGTCGCTCAGCGGCCCACAACCGGGCCTGGAGATCACGTGCGTGGTGGGCGGGGTGTATTCCATTGGAGACCCCTTTCGGAAGGTGCTGTTTGTCCCATTATTTCCGATTAAACACCCAGTGGCTTTCAGGTTCCATGTGGGTCTCTTCCATGCCTATCAGGTTCTTTTCTCTCTTTTGCTAATTCTTCATTTCATCCTGCCTCGCCATCAAAAGCGATCCGTGGCCTTGGCTTGCCGATCCTTAGCATGCTCGCCTTAGCCGGGCGTCACCCGGCTCTTCAGCGACCGCGCGGGAACGGCCGTGACGGCTCTGCTTGGCCGTGACGGCTCAAGTAGGAGCAGTGAGGAACAGAGGCCCAAGGGCCCTAGGCAAACAGGATGGGATCAAACAAGAATGCGTGAGATGGGACGGAATGTTTCGGGTCCTTCACATGCCTCAACGAGTAACACGTCACACGTAACGCGTATGGAAAGCTCGTGCGTCACCTGCTAACACCTGTGCTGCCGAGCGGCGGAGCCCCGACCTGGCGGCGGCGGTGTGGCTCCTGGCCGATCCGCGATGGCCGCGATGGCCTCCCGACTGGCGATGGCCTCCACCGGACTTAGAATCCTTGGTTACCTCAAGATCAACTGAATGCAGCCAGATCTTGATGTTGATCCCTACTGTATCACACCAGTGGGCGTCAAGACTAATGACCCCGTGCGAGTCGACGACGACCGAGTTCTACGAGGATCTCTGGTGAAAGGGGGTGATCAGGGCTGTTCACGCCAGAAGAATCCTGCATCAGTTGAGTTTGTATATACCGAATGTCTCGCAACACCTGCGGGCAATAATAGGCTTCTCACATCTTTTTAAACCATGTTCACCGTAAACGAACATCAACAGTTCTCTCAAAAATGTGAAGTTCCACCTCCTTGGAACACCCTCATCTCTGGCACTCAAATCCCCAATCGATCATCTTCTTCAATCCCATAAGATGAAGCATTGGCGCCCTACTAGCCCAGTCTCCAAGAGTCAATAGCCTCAATAGCGATGCCTCTGGTTTTGTCGCAGAGGGGCAGTCCCCACCTGTGCATGAATCGATACATGTTTGCTCACTTCAAGCTGAACAAGCCCTTGCAAGTGATACCACCATCATGCACGCTTTTAGCACCATCTAGCATCACACCACACATTCAAGGCAGGTTTTGATGTGACCTATGCCTATGTTGGAGTTCACGGAGTGGTACTGGCTTTTGCAGCAAACATACATGTATGATTCTTGATGCCCAAACTGAGACCCAAGGCAACTCCCAAACTAGGTTCCTTCTTCCAGTCCCAGGTCTTCCCCCATGTTTGATCGAGGAAGTCGTTTCTTCTGCGCCGAGGTCCACGAATTCGCCATACCGAACGTTCAGGACGGGTTTTCCGGCCTCCAAGCGGACGCCAAAGCGCCGGGGTATGGTGGGATGCCCGCGCAGAAAGCCTGTTCACAGCTGCTTTGAGCCATGTGGAAACCGCCAACATCCACCAACATGTTTGGTGTTTGGAAGTCTGTTGGGGCAGATGGACGGGGCCGCGTCAATCGTTTTCAGAGGTCTTTTGCGCAAGCACACCTGTCATTACACTTCCTTCAATTCAAGAACACGTGCAAAGCCCAGAACAGCTTGCTGTTCGTTCCACAAAGGTTCCTACAACAGCTTATTGACTGTTGTGGGATTCTCAAAAGCCTTCTCATTTTCGATGCCCGGTTCAAGCTTGGCTTGACGCCCGGTGTCGCTTCCCTTCCGTCGCTCCCGACGCGGCTCTCGTGACCCAAATGACGCGCGGTGTCGCCCTGGCGCTGGTGCTCGTGGCGAGCCTTGCCTCAGGCGAGCCAGCTCCTCCAGCGCCACAGCTGCGCGGCAAGGACGCGGAGCCGGAGCCCGTGGCGAAGGTGCAGCCGGAGCTGCCTGAGAAGGAGGCCGCAAAAGTGGGGGCTGTGGCCAAGGAGCCTGTGGCAGAGAGAAAGAATGAAGAGGCTCCGAAGGTGGCTGGAGAGGTGGTGAAAGAGCCAGAGAAGAAGGTGACAGAGGAATCTGGTCAGCCTGAGGCCGCTCCAGAAGTGAAGAGCCCTATTGAAGAGACTGAAGAGCCAAGAAAGGGATTTTCAAAACGCTTTGATTCTTTAGAATGTCTATTGATGCATTCTTGACAGTGGTGTTCTATTGTCTCGATTTCCAAGAAAGACAGTTTGATTCTAGGAATATTCATATTTGTTTGCAGCATGTGGGGGAGTATCGCAGACAATAAAATTTGATAATCTATGATAATCTTATTATTACTATTCGACTAATCTAAGCAGCCTCCTTTTTTCGCCTGATATTATGCAGACGTGGAGTCGCAGACAGGTGGCTGAAGGGATCTAATAAGGCTCGAAGCGAAGAGCCACAGCAACCAAAGGTAGAATTGTTTCGCAGATGGTTGTTTATGTGATGTCCATCACCGCTTTTGGAATTCAATCAGATCAGATCTAAATTCAGTGGCCAAAAGAGCCGATGGATCCAAATCAAGGAGCCGAAAGAAGAGGTTGGTGTGGTCTTCGAGGAGCTGGAGAGCGAGGACGGCGAGGACAGCGAGAACTCGGAGAAGTCTGCGCATCGCCCTGGACGTCCCGGAAGGGGCTGGGGCAGGAGACGAAGCGGAAGGGGCTGTGGTCTCATGATCTGAGGTTCACGGATTTTTTTCACGATCGGTCCAGGCTTGACCGGCTTGTGGTCTGCTTGCGGCTTTTGATCCATTCCGGGACTGCTGAGTCTGAGTTGTTTTCTTCAGGTGGATGCCATGATAGGTGTTTGTCCTTTGCCTGATGGGTTTGGGTGTAATGATATATACATTTGAACCAGTGTCATCTAGGTTCGGTTTGTTCCCAATGCAGACAAGCATTTGGAGGAGACGACCCTGGCATGGTGGCGTTCACAGAAGACGACCGTGGCATGGAGGAGGTGGTGGTTGCAGGCGTTGGGTCAACTGCTACAATGGCTGGTACGGCGGGGTTCAATGCAGCGGTGGCCGATACTGTACGCTCTGGCGCTGAGCCCAGACCTTCACTGGCGGAAAGCATTGCCGACCAGGGAATGGGCATCGGTGCCTTTTGAAAGAGCACACTTTGTTACTCGAGGGGCACAAGGCTCCTCCCAATTCACGTGTGAAGGGATGTGCGAGAGCGTTGGTGAAGCCTCTCCACTCCTTCATGGGTGGGCGCATGCGCTGACGCAAGCATAGGGTGTCAGCGGGTTCCTGAGCGGCTCTTCGTAGTGAGCAGCCGCGTATTGCACGGAAATTCCCCAAGAGCCTCTAAAAGGATAAGGACACGCAGAAATCTGGTATGCAGTATAGAACCATCTTAAGATGGGGTTTGGTGAAGTGTTCTTGCGGGTGCTTAGGCGAACTACCCTGCAAGGCACAACGGTAGTCCTCAAGAATCGCCTCGCTTCAGACACTTCACATGCATTTACCGTCGCGGCAACTGGTGTTGTTTGGGAAGTTACGGAATGTTACGGAACACTTTCGCCAAACTGTGTTCAAACAGGGGGGCCAAACGGATGCTGGGACAGGACCGCCATTTCGGTCATCTTTGGCGTTGCTGTGTTCGCCAACACCAAACAGCCCTGAAAGCAGGCAACATAGCTGTCTAAAGCAAACAGACTTAAAGAGACATGCCCCCATGCACGGTCCTGCAGTAAGCGTGAAATTACTGTTGATGGAAGAGCTTCACTTTGCAGACGCAAACCATGGTTTCAGATGTTTTCAGTGGGAAATCTTTTCTTTGCTTGAAATGGTCCAATTTTTTCCCATCAGCTCTATTCGCCAGAGAGTTTTGGCCTTCCGACCATCCGCGCAGGACGGGGTGCCACCAGCCTGCGCCCATCGAGGCTTAGATAGTGGCGCAATCAAGCAGATGCTGAGCAGAAGAATTCACGCAAAGCTTTGAGCTGACTTAGCTGAGCAACGTGTCACCAGTGGCTTTGGGTGCGTGCAGAACGTGCACACCGGACAGCTGTGAGCCAAATTGTTGGTGCAATTACAGTATATACTTTTGATCCCATCGTCTTGCATGGTGACCCAAGTCGCTTTAGTGGCTTTGGCCTTCTTTCAATATCGTGTCAAGCCGTGGGTGGAGGCGGTTTTGTGCAGCAGAAAAGGACTCACACGGTTCTTCAGAGGGTCAATTTTCCCTTCAATCCTTATATAGATCCTTAGAAGTCAAAGGAGTTTGCCAAGGAATGAAGGGACGTGCATTCAATGATTCCCAGAATCCACTCGTCAAATAGAAAAGGAAGACTCCTTTATATCGTGGGCCCAAAATAGATAAAACAGAAGATCCCTTACTGTAAACAAATGCATTGGGCACAGTGTCTCTCAGTGTCTCTCTTTGATTCTTTTCTAAACCTCATATTGCCACACGATGCATTCTATGCCAGCTGCTTCCAAGGGGCCACACTGGAAAACCCCACACTACTCAATCGTTCTCCATTGGACGACCGGAAGCGGGACACCAGCAGTCGAGTGTCTCGCCTCTTGAGCAGTCAAGTCTTTGAGCAGTCTAGTGGTCTCCTTAAGGCGCTAAGTCTGAAAGGACACCGTGCGCTGAGTCTGAAAGAAAGAAAGGTGTTTCCTCAATTTCATGTTCTTCTCTTATGTGATTATACCCTCCCTTGCGGTGGGATGGCATCAGACCAATGACCGAAGCAGCATCCACGTCGGGGACAAAGCCCACTCCACATGGCGTGATCTGTAGCAGTGTTCCGTTTTCAATCTCCACTGCTTGGACCGCTACAGCCAGTCGCATCTCGCTTCCGCTCGGTCAGCCAGACGCTTTCCCGGGAGCCGGTCCGCGCACCGAATAAGCACCTCGCTCGGCTTCCCTCCCGACGCGGCGCACATCGGTCAGGCGGAAGAAGAATCGGAGCTCATGGAGAAGTTCAATTGTTGGTGCAAGGCGGGCGTGGGTCCTGGTCAACCTGATGAGTCGATCCGTGGAGTGGACTCTTTTGGCGTTTTCGGGCTGGGCACGGCTGGTGAAGATGAAGGGAGATGGAGGAGATGGTGAGGGAGGTGGGCATCAAAGCCTGGGATGGGGAGCAAGCACATTAGCTGTGAAGTTGATTGGGATCCGCACCTGCAAGGGTCATATTGACCAAAAGTTAAGAATCAAAGCAAAAAGGAGTATGACACTATACAGGCTAGCTGCCAATGCAAAGTTTAGCTTACGCACACACTCTGGGATCTTGACCTTGGCCCTTTGAAGCCAGCTCGAGCCGAGGCTCGATGGCGGGGCCACGGTTCGTTTCTTCACTCGGTGCCCATATGGTGCCCACCAACATGGCTATGAGTCTTTCAACCTACAGAAGGGAGGTTTGGACCACCGAACAAGGGTCAACCGGGCTTCAGATGCCGTGCCAATAAGTATCCAATCGTTCGGACACAAGCCAACTCCGTTGTCCGAAAAAACCAGACATGGCCAGCATCTGTCAGCACGCACACCGGCACCCGACCCGATGAAAGGACCTCACGGTCGATGTGGTTTCAGCCCCCTCTCTGTCCCTCCGGAAGGGTGCGGGTTTGAGTCAGGTGCGGTCTCGGTATCTCCCACTGATAGGTGTGACAACCCGACACCTCAGACTCTGCAGTGCCGTGGCGCAGCACATGGATCCTGGACCCACAGGATGTGACTGGACCCACCTTCCCCGCCATCGAGGGGGGGGGGGGCCGGTTCGGTGCGTCGGTTTGGGACCCGAGTGATTCCAATCCGAGGAACCGAGGAACCGAGGAACCTGGTTCAAGTCTTTGGAAGTATGTGTGATTTATGGGCCTCCGCAGGGATGTGAACAAGGGCGTTTCATGGTCCTCTGTTTTGATCTGTTTTGTTTGGATTCTACCCTCCCTCAGGCAATCACAGAAGGGGATTGTCCTTTCGAAAGAATCTAAAGAGGGTCTTCCTAATCTTCTCAGCTTGAGAGAGTATAGACCTTCGCTGAGTCATGGTTTCAGGTATTTTGTTTCAACCTTTAACTTGGGATGATTGAGCCCACTGACACATGTGGTTCAGTTGAAACCCAACCAGTTCGTGGGTTTGCCCCGCTCTTTTCGTGCCAGGAGAATGGCGAGGGGAAAGCGACCTCCGTTGGGGCTTCCAAGTCAGACAAGTCCAAGTCGGACATCTGAAGGTTGGATGCTGTTTGGACATCCATGATCCTTATAGGCTTATAGGCTGGTTTCAGTTTTGGAACTGCTCCCCTTTCGAATCGTCATCCCGCTTTGGGCTTCCCCCCGGAACTCCGAGAGACACGAGACGGGCCAGCCCGGGGGATGTTTGGGGCTTCAGGGACGGCTTCGGTCGTTGGTCGTTGGTTGAGAGGTCCGAATGGCAGTTGGGTCGTTTGTAGATCCATCGACAAGCTGAGAATTCTTGGATGATGTGACCAACTAATTTTTGATGCAAGTTCTTGAAGGGCTTGACTTCCCGCAGCCTGACGCTGACATGTGATTGCTTTTCATGGAATGGCCAATGACCTCTGGCGACACAATCGGAACCTGACCATATTGGGATCTTCATCTTGCCCTACTGGCACCCTCTGAGTATCTCGGTGATGCGAAAACCATCTGGTCCGAATCTGACCTGGTTGAACTAAGATGTCGGATCGGTTCGCTTCGGCCAGAACGCGCTTCGGCCGCACCACTCGACCCCAGCGCTTCATCGCAGGGCCAAACGCGCACGGCACCCCCCGGGGTGGGTCGAATTCGCTTCGCTGCGTGGGGGCACCTGAGGAGTTTTCGAGGTCTTTGGGGACGACGGGATGGATTTGATGGTAATAGCACGTAATATATAAGACCATCGTAGAGCATCCAAGTTTGGGATTGATTGGGTTCCTTTTGGCGGTTGTTGGATGCCTTTTGGTCGCAAGTCTTTCCAATGGTGCCGCTTGGTCAAGCTTTCCTCCTCTGTCCAAAAACACCCGACCAACCAAAATGGGGATTGACTGAGGTGGAGGCAGCTGAAGCAAAGATCAAGGCGAGGGCCCCAGCAATTTGATGGACAAAGTCTTTAGCCACCCAGTCGCAGTAGCTGCATTTGGGTAGGCTTTTAGATGGGGAGACGACTCCCCATCGAACCCCCTTGGAAAAAGGAATTAGAGCTGGCCCCATAGTCTGTAGAGCGACAGGCTCGAGCGTCTTAGATATGAGGCAGTGCACTTTGCACGATTGTGATTTAAGATGATCAGAGCGTATGATCTTGAAACATCTCCAACATGTGACGGGCTTTGTATACACACCCCAAAATATGCCCGCCCTGATAGGTGTGCTAGACTCTCTGCAGACAGTAGATTCCGTAGACGTCTTTCCGCAAGCGAATGGGTCGGTCAGCAGCGCCGCAGCGACGCGGCCAGGAGATGGAGGCGAAGGTGGAAGAATTGACCGCCAGCAGCTCTCGCTTGGAAGTGGAGCCTGGAGCCCCGAGAATAACAGGAACAATCAGCGAAAGATGGGATTGGCTGATTGGCTGATACTGTAGTTGACATCCAATTAGTAGTTGTGTGTGGAATTTTAAACTTCTAGTTTTACGCTTTGCACCTGAGGTCCAAGAACCTGGAGAAGGACATGGAGAAGAAGGAGGTGCTTTGAACCTGCGCCGGTTTGGGATGTTTGTCTTCCCAAATGTCCACTGTGAGTCAGTTTTTGTTCGTTTGTCAACCCCCGCGTCACGTCTGTTGAAGCGCCCGCATCGAGAGGCAGAACTGGTGACTCAATCTGCCTTTGATCAATCGTTTCGACCGAGCCAACCTTGGGGGAGGATGTTTCTCGCGGCTCAGGTCTCGTTGGAGGAGGTCATTGCTCTTCGGAAAAAGGAACTGGTGCGGGCTCCCGACCGGGCCCGGTCGGGTGCCGTGGATCGGGGCGCCGGAGGGGTGGGGCGGAGGGAAGGAGTCGGGACGAGACATGGCAAGGGTGGACCAAATGACAGTGTACCATGAATTTGACCAAACTGGGAAGTCTCCTCCCAGGCAGTGCAGGGTACATGTCCATCATGTCACTCATGGTGACGGTGACGTCATCCCCTTGTGCTCTTAGTGAAGCTGGAGGACCAACGAGGACCACGACACCGGGGATTTCTCGCCGCCACAAGGAGCGGAATTGAGCGTGTGACCTTTCCTTCCGAAAAGGACACGGGAACCGGGTGATAGGATTGGCAGGTGTGGGATGGATGCATGATGTCCAATCATACTCTCACAAAACAGGCCTCCCAAAAGCAGAACTGGCCACCTCTCCACCTCCCCAGCTGGACCCTGTTTTTCGTTTCGGTCCCTCGTTTCGCCCCAAACAGGGGGGACCTGAACCGGTGAGGCGAAGTTCGAAGAAGACGAGACTGATTTGAAGAACGACATTGGCAGCGTTGGGAACCCAGAGGGAACCTGCGCACCCTGAGACCATCTGAGGTCTACCGACCGGGTTTTTGGAAGGGACTGGATGTGGAGGATGTTTTGAAAGGACATGGACCTTTATTCGGGTGTGAAGGAGACGTGTAAAAAAAAGTCTAGGAACAGCGGACTTTAGGGATCTTTGGGGTGTCAGTTCAATTGGCACGATCGATCTTGAGTTTGATTGGGATTTCGATCCAAGTCCAGCACCGAAGGGTGCCCCATGAGAGTCCCGTGTTCGTGCGGTGTGCGGATGGTGAAGTCCAGCAGCAGCAACAAGCAGCAACCAGGAAGTGGTCCTGGAACCCAACGCCCCCACAGGATCCACAGGGTCGAGCCAAATTTTAGTCCCAAATCCACCCAAATCCTCCATACCAAAGACTCGTCCAACCAGCCGAACCCCCCCACCGGACGATCCGTGAAGGGTCGTAGCGGCGTAGCTTCCAGGTGAAGGCTGCGACCAATGTCGTGGCTGGAGGACCCAGAGGATGGCTGCAGCTAGTGGTCTTGGAAGAACCAAGAAGAACCTGTTTGCCTCATTGGTTCAGGATGGGGCACCTACCAATCCATCCACCAACCGATCAACTGACCAGCCATAAATTACATCCATCAAGATACGCATCCTCAACCCAAGATCAATCCGCGAACAAAAAGAGGAACTCAACGAAGGACATTATTTGTCCAAGGGACCTGCTAGTCAAGGGTTGTATTTTAATGATATTTAATGTGTATTCGGGAAACCAACCAAAAGGTTCATGGACCGGCAGCCCCCCACTTGCAGAGCAACTGGCTGTTGGTCAAATTCCAAACAAATCCTCAGAAGCGCTGTTCCTCTCCCTCCCTCTCTCTCTCTCTCTTTCTTTCTGTTTTTCTTGTCTGAGAAAATCAACCATTTTTGTTTCCTTTTGCATTAGGAAAGCCCGAGGTGTCCAGCATTGTCCAGCTGTCTCCCCTCGAAAGTTCGAGCACACCTGACTTCCTTTGGAGGTGGGGCTGAACGGCCCCTGTTTTTGGACCCCCACGTTCCAACCTGGTTAACTCCCCTCAAGGCGGAAGGTGTCTCCTTGGTGCAGCGGCCTGGCAAGAAGAGAGCCCCTTGGCAAAAGAACGAAAAGCGACCGGGAAATATATCTGGGAAAAAAGCGAGATCCACCTGGTCTGAGACCGATTCCGCGTGTTGTCCGGGATGGCAACATCACTTGGCTCTGGCAAGATCCAGTTCCATTTCGCTATTCCACTGCGCGGCTGAAGAGCCGCTTGTGAATGCTGTGAAGTGGCGGACGTCTCTTTCATTGCCCAGACTTCCAGTGGTGGATCGTCGTCTGAAGCCATACCGCCACAGGTGTTTTTACGGTTCTGTTCTTGTTTGGCCCACTGACTGTTCGTGTGTGGCCCACTGACTTACGGATGCCACAAAGCTCCGTGCGAATTGGAGGAGGACAGAACAACGTTGCATAGTTTGGAAGTGGTCAAGCGTGCTCGAAGCTTTGGAGCTTTCAGATATGCACCATTGCAATGCTGTATAGTATAGTACGGAGTATGGTATAGTATGCAACACTTATAGTGATTTGTACTCATGTTGTTTTTTTTCTGCAAGATTTCCAACGTTAAGTTAAGTTAAGTCGGGCGGTTTCTTCACGAATCTCTATCCGAGCAGCCCGAGCGCTTCCAATCCAACCAAGGCTATCTCAGAAACCTTGCGAAGGATTTTGGAAAGGCGCTTGCACACAACTGTTCTGCAACAATTGCTTGCACCATCTTGCACTCCAGACTCAACCATTTGCGCGTGTTTTTTGTGCCTCAAACTCGGAATCAAGCCTACAGAAATCCAGCCCTGCTCCCTGCCTCCCTGCCTGCCGTCAGGCGTGCGGGTGACCTGAGTGCGGACGATGGACGCCATGTGGCCATGCTCCTCCAAGATGATCCCGGCGCAGGTGACGTTTGCGGCGGTTTGTTAATGAGCACCAGCCAGGTCCAAAGTTCTCCTGCAAACTATTCTTGGCATCATGAATTTGACTAGTTTGAACAGGCTCCGGTAGGTTGCTGAGTTCTAGAGAATTGCGAAGTGGAGCAACACTGGGATTTGCCAGGAAGTGTGGAAGGTGTGCTGAAAGGCCAGCAGCGGGCACGTTCAATTGAACTGATTCATTTGGGTCGCTCGAAAGACTATGTACACCGGCCCATTGCGGGGATGTTTGCCGAGTGATTGATCCCCCCAAGTCCCAAGGGAGTCCCAAGTGGTTACTTCTAGACCATTGGCTTCACCCTGGCAGTCATGGCTCCGACAAGAGAATACAAGAGTACTGTTGATGTAGACTGTTGATTCTACATTGACATTGAATTACATTAGTATGTCTATATATGGAAGAGCTGTTGTAGGACATACCCAATTGAATGAAGAGTCTGAAAGCAATACCGCCACCGACATGGGGGGTTTGCTGTTTGCACAGTCGCTACAAGCAGCTTGGTAGTGGTCCCACCCACGAAGGAACCACCTGCTTAATGGATATGAATGGAATGCCACCTCTCCGGGTGGGGATCATGTCAAAGACAGCGAACATGTATTTATCTAACCAAATAATGAATGCCCTACCCAACATGATCCAATATGCAGAACAGATCGCGTGGGCTGAGGGTGGTTGAGTCTCAACCACCTCAGCTAGTTAGCTAGTGTCTCCAAATTTCAGCTAGTCTTTGAATTCTCAGATGGTGTCGATTTGTCCCATGAGACCAACCAGATCGACCAAGCGAGTTGGCCAGATCTGAAGACCGACTTCCAGAAGAACCTGGAAGAACTCCAGGAGAACTGAAGCACATGCGTGCATGATGTGACAAGTGCGTGCATTCTTGTTGTTTGGGTCACACGTTTCGACAGGCTCCGTCGACATCCCTGGACATGTCTGGAACCCCTGGATTGGGATTGCTGCGGATAGCAAAGGTCACCAATGATGCTGGTCAGTGGAACCTGGTACTTTATGTGATTGCAAGACAGAATAGCTACTCCAGATCAAGAGGTACACCAAATGGGGACCTGTCAGATTTTGGTATGTGATACACTCGCTTGACTATCCTCAGTCCTATAGATTCTTTGTCATTGTGGATGTTGTGGTCTGGAATGATATTTTACAACACCACTAAAGGTTCACACCCCGGACAGCTAAAGGACCGGGCATCCCACAGCCCACAGGTCCCCCACGACACACTGCACAGCATAGCCCACATGCAGCGCCTAGAGCTTTCTCCCACCAGGACAGCGAGAAGACCAACGAGGCCGAGCATGAGAAGTTGGTGGCTGCCCGGGAAGCCCAGCGAGGATGTCGCGTTAAGAAACCGCCCGAGAAGCGGGTGGAGCCTGACAAGTCCAATGGACAAGTCCAATGGACAAGTCCAATGGACAAGCATTTATGTGTACGTTGTTTTTTTTCCCATTTTCCTCCCACCCCGAGTCATTGGTTGCTGTGCTCCAGTGCTCCGTGGGGGCTTGTTTGTCACCAGAACTTGCCAAACGACTTGGCTTTGACCCCCGGCAGCACCGTGACTTTCATGCAATGGCTTTGGACAGGTCCAGTCTGGTTCACAAGTGATCCAGGTTCAGGTGCTAGGGCTTTCAAAGAGGTACACCTCTCAGGTGAAAGAACCACAGGGTTGTGGATTGGTTCGCCACATCAACATCCAGCCCTCCAACTGAGCTGGATGTTCTTCTTCTAACTTCACCTTACAACCATCGACATACAACCACCGATCTCCCGACCGCTCCGGCGCCTCCGTGGTCCGTCCCCGAGGCCAAGAAAAAGGAGATGGACGCCGTGAAGGCTCAGGTGCATGGGACTGGTGATGGACGGATCTCAACATGTTCGGATCTCCAACAATGTGACCATCCAACGATGTGAATGGTAATTCCATCCTACTTTCCACCAGAATCGTTTTCTGATGTCCTGGTAGATCCGACCGTTGACCGACCCGGGATTCGCCCGGGATGAAGAACGGATTGGGCGTCCTCGTCATCTCTTCTCCTGACCGTTGGGGAAGGAACACCAGGGACCGTCCGTTGGGACGTGATCGGGAAATCGACCTGTTGGACCTCGATGGATTCGAGGTTCGGGTGACCACCTGGAGGTCTGAGCAGCCTCGAGGGTTCGTTCGGTAGATGTTCTGGCTACTTTGTTCAAACATGGACGGGACACCGCCACCTTGAGGAAGAACATGGACGAGGAGGAGACCCGGTAGAATCCCTTTGGCGGCACATGCCGATCATTTACTTACTTGGTAGGTGGTGGTTAAGCCAACTATTCTTCACTTTGCCGCCTTCCTCTTATCATTTGGTTCCTTTTGGTAGATTCTAGATTTCATCCTGCTCGGTCTTCTCAAGTGGGAAGGAATTGCCACAGGTGCGAGTGTAGGTTCACCCGTCCGCTGTTCGGACTGTTTTTGATGGTCCTTGCGCTCGCCCCGCTGCCGCGTTGCTGCTCAGATGACTGAAAAAGAGGAGCAGAAAGCTGCCACAGATGAGGAACTCTTTCAAACGAAGCAGGCCCAAAGGGGATCGATATACAAGGGGTGGTTTGGTTGGTCGATATGGATTCCCAACCAAAACACCTCTGAACAGAACAGTGCCATCTTTATATAATATATGCTTTTGAAACCTTCCAGCCCTCAGATGCAAGTCTGATCAGGGGACTCCCTTTTTGCTGACACATGATTTGATCATACATAATTACACAAGCTATATCTTGTCTTCAAATCTATGCTCACATGGTGAGGTGGATGCCATCTATCTGCGCTTTATTCCCCAGTTTCTTTATGTACTCAGGTGGTTTGACATGGACCTTCTGAAGACCTTGTTCTTTACTCCAAACCCTGAACACAGGCGGTGAAGGATGCCCGAGGCTCCGTGGATGAAGAGATCGCGCCGGGTGCCTGGTGATGACGCGTCAGTACGCGTCAAGTGGGTTTGTATGTTGCTGGGTGTGTGTTGGAATGGGGAGACACCCATGGGGAGCCGCCAAGATGAACAAAGAGCAGACTGCCAGACATCGTGACCCGGTGTCTGGTTTGTATCAGCGGACTTGACCGCTGCCGACGTTCGACGTCAAGGTTTGCCAAGCAGGTGAAAGAGAAGTGCGCCGTCAAGGCGAAGGTGCGCCGTTCGACGTCCTAGGCGGATGGTTGTTTGGAGGATTTATGAGGCGATCGCATTCGCAGGTAACATCAGGTAACCAACTTTTTCGTTCGATTTTCTCCAGGAGTAGGGGAGAGGCTTTTCAGGATGCTTTTTCCACACCTGGAAAGGTCTCTGCTTGTGTGACTGGTGTGTGAAAAAGCACACTTCCGAAACTCCCACACGGTCCTGCTTTTACTTCCTCCCAGAATCCTTGGACCCTCCATGGCGTTCGAACCACTATAGATCCTTTTCCATTGGTTACGGGCTCGGTTCTTCTTGGGGTTGGAACTACTCCAACGCCCCACGTTCACTCCTTCGCTTCCGTACACCGCGGTTCCACCCACCGACGCTCGCTCGCTTCGTCCGACAGTTCGGACCGCGGGCGTCGTCAGGAGTGGGAGAAGCGACAGAAGACTCGGGCCGAAGAAACCCTGTCGGTGTCCAAGGCCGGTTCGTTCTCGGGGCCCGGTTCTCGCCTCGGGGCGCGGGGCGCAGCCGGGGCGCGGTTTTTGCGGGCGCAGGGCGCAGGGCTCCGGAGAAGCTCCGTGGATCGAAATGTCAACACCACGTCGTTTGGCATGTCATGTGAATGTGGTCAATGTAACCAACAAGTCCATAAGATGTAACAATCCAATGCTATACAAAAAGGGTATAGTAGGGTTGTATGGTGTAAATATAACTTGAACCAACAAGCCCATAAAATGATCCTCAATGGAATGTTGGTTCCCAGGCGAAGTTGGCCCAAGAAAACCCTAAACGTTGAATTTCAGGATGAAAGGTGAACTGGTGTTTTATTTAATTTGAACTCCATCGTCTTAGTCTAAGATCTTAGCCTGTCCCAGAAGTGTCTCCAATGATTATCCAATCTTCAACTGTACCAGCTGGGTCGCCCACCGGTCCAGGCGATCGAAGTGCTGGGCGATGACGCGGCTCATGAGGCGTTAGCGGTCTACCGTTGGCATGCTCACAAGACGAGGGCAGAGATATGTTTCTAAATGATTTTCAATGATGACCACTTCAATCTTGGAATGATCTAATTCTGGTGTTGATCTCTCATGATCTCTCCACTCGAGCTGGGTGCTCGAACATCTGGTTTCGACATGTTTCGACGCCAACAGCAGCTCGGTCACCTTTCTTCGCTGGTGAGAGTCGGCTGCCGAAGCAGCCGCTTCGACGGTGTGATCGAGATGTGGGGTGTGGTTAGTGTATGTGTATTCAGTGGATTTCAGTCGAATCTATAGTAACTTATGTATGTATAGCTGTACTATGCGACTGACTATTCTGTACTACTTTAGTGGAATCTATCGCTGTACTATTCCAGAATCTCAGGTAGAATCATGGACTCCGGATAAACCACACTGCCCTTTCAAATCTCCCTCATTTGTGTTCCATCACCATGATTTTTGCGCGAAACGTTGTAGCGGCTTCGCGCTTGCGTTTCGCGTTTTTGTTGTTGCAGGTCTTTGGAAAGACCATGTCTTTCCTTCAGGCCCCGGCCGGGGGCCTTTCGGTCCTCTTCGGTGACTGTGAAGTGAGTTCTTCGGTGGTCGCGATGGATCGTGAACGGGTCGGGACTGGTGACTTCCGGGAAGGTCGGAAGGTCGGAAGGTGTGTCAAAGTGGTGAGTCTAAGTAATCCACGAGTCATGGTCAATGGGTGAGGCATTTTTCATACCTGTGGAGGTCATGGACCCTGAAGATGGACCTGAGGGGCAAGCTGGAGCGGCATCTTCAAGCCCTGGTGGATGGTTTGTGCGTGAAATGGTGACCGGGGAGAACGGTTCCTGCCGTGCTGGAAAGTCCAAAGGGGAGACTCTCTGGTGACTACCCTCCCTCCAACTACGAAGTGGACACCCCCTGTTTCATAGTATGTATATATAGTAATAGAATATGGTAGAGGAAACTTTATATAGTCTTTTTGGAGACCATTTTCCACTTCCATGTTTGTTCGAGGGAGGGAATACAGTATAATTGCCGTGCCCTCCCAATCAATGTTTGTATTGTAGACCAAGTGTGCAGGATCCCAGACGAGGCTTCTCGGTGAAGTGGGTCAACATTCTTCCACTTCTATGTTTCTTAGAAGAGCGAGACCTGGACACCCAAGTGGCCCAACAACTTTTACCTTTGATCCAGAAAAGGTCTTCAATGGTCTCCCTGTTGGAATGCACCCCCAAACCAGAGTGTGTCCCTCATTAGCAGTATCAGCTCAATGAAGGTATATATGATCACTCTTCTTGAGAAAGGCTTGAGAACCAACCATCATGATCCACTGGGCCCTGTCTCATCAGATATACCCAACCGACTCCCCAACCGTTGTACCATCGCCCGTTCTTTCGTCACTTCTCCGGCCAGGTCTCTAGCAGCGATGCCCGGGTTCGCCGGGCCCAGCTCGCAGCGCTTTTGTCCAAGGCCCGGCCCTTCCGGCCGCGGGGGCGTCGGAGGATGGGTTGACAAACTGGCCAAGACGAAGAAACTCAAGCCTTTTTGGACACACTCGAGGTGGGAAGGTGGGAACCTCCTGACCTTCTCCCGACCGATTTGGCCTGGATGCCAGGCTGGGCTTTCAGGCCGCGATGAGCGATTGAAGACCCTGGCCTTGGAAGCGAAGCTGGATAGCTTCACGGTGGTGAAGGACGCGCCGCTTGATGCGGTGCAAGCGAAACGCTTCTTGTTTGGGCTTGCGAGTCCAAAGCTGCTGAGCTGTTGAACGTGTAGAGGGCAGTGAAGCGTTTCTTGATGTATGAGATTGTGGAGTGAGGTGAAGTGTGGATTGCCGATTTGTGGATTTCGACAAGAATTGGACACAGCTGCCAAACATAATATTTCTGTGAATCCCTTGTCCCATGGTTTGGGTAGATGTAGAGCTCCCAGGTAGACCAAGAGGACGAAGACTGGAGAAGGAGGTCACCTGTCAATCTTTTCCAGAAAGACTCAGGATGACAGGGATGTGAACGTTCTTGTTCTATTGGGAGCTAGAGGTGTTGAGCGAGTGCAATGAGGCAACAGTCTGGCAAGACCGTCCTGAACCCATCCTCTGGTCGGCTTGAAGCGTGGAAACGAGGTGTTCCCCTACAAAGAGCTACAGTACTACATGAGCAACCACTTTTGTTTAGGCTTTACTAAAGTAGTCTATGGCATGCTCTATTTGCCTGGCTATCATCAGTATTCGCTTGTGGACGAGATAGGGCCCTCACATAAACGAGATACTATTGCTTGATGACATTCAAGTAGTCTAAAAGAGATAGTGTGATCTGCTACTAAAGTAGTCTGAACGAGATACTGTGACATGACCTCCTACTTAAGTAGTCTAAACGAGATAGGGCCCCCGAAACCCTCAACCGAGGGTGTGGTATTTGAGTTAACGTACCACCGGAACTACGGCCCCGCCTTCCCACCCTCAACATCCCTCACCATCTGTCGCCTCACCGACCGGGCGTCCCGGACAGACTGAGAGGTGCAGAGGTGCAGAGGTTCGGATGAGAACTGAGGTGCAGAGGTTCTGGCGCTTGACCACATGACCTGAAAAACCGGTTGGGGTTGGGTTGAATCAGGCTATCCGGTTGGCCATTGGTGGCTTAGCGGAGGGGACTCACCAAAAAAAGAGCGGCAATACCTTTGGTCGAACAATCTGCAAAGCTGCAAAAGGAGTTGCAAAGATTGCAAAGTTGCATTGGTTCTTGATGATGATTCCGATATCCAACAGGTTGAAACAACAACAACAACCACCACCACCAACAACAACAACAGCAACAACAACAACAACAACAACAGGCTTTTGTCAGAACCCACAGGCGATGGTGAACACAGAGATATTTCGCGCTGAAAATAACACGATTTGCAAGAGCAATGCTCTTCTTAGCCAACTTGCACTCGCTTCGCAGGGCTGCGGTTCTTTTAACCCGCCCACCTTGGAGGGCGATACTCACAACACCCCACAACCAAGTCTTTAGGAAAAGATTGGTTTGGGACCAACAAACGCGCGCCTCGAGCCTCTGAGCGACAAAAAATGGGTTGCCAAACGCAAGCTCTGGTGGACCCGGACACACAATCTGTGGTGCCCCAAAGGTCCATGTGACCGCTGGGCCGGTTGGACCCGGTGGAAAAGCACCGGTAAAAAACCACAGGGAGAAGGATCGGTCGCTCGAGCACCACCGGTGTTTTCGAGAAGGATCCGCCAAGGTGAAGCCAACTGATGTAAGAAGTGGTCGTTTTAAGTGTGCCGCCCTCATCCATACCAAAAATGCAGGTGCTATGCATTTAGACCTTTATTATCCTTTATTTATTTCGTTCTACATGTCCATAGCCGCCAATTTCATCCAATTTCCATGCTTGCAGGAGAAGATTGACACAATGGTTGGAGCCCTCAAAGAGGAGCAAGCCTTGGAGGTGAATTGTGCATTTTTCATTGAGATTCCTACCACATCCTACGACAAAATCAGCATCGCACTCGGTTAGGCAGCAGTGCCTGAAACCAGAAGTTCTCTCCTTAATTATATATTTGCGTGGATTTTCAGAATTTGCGGCTTGCTTGTTTTTTCTTGATGCATATGTGTTTTGTAAATACTTCTTGAAGATGCAAGACAGAGAACATCCCTTGAGCGGCTAAGTGCACTTGTCAATGTGCTGATGCAGTGCAGGTCAAGAAGAAAGACTACTGCGTGGATGAATTCCAGAAGAATAAGTGCGCCAGCGTTTGAATGAAATGCTGCCGTGATTTCATTTCTAGCTCAGCTCAGCGCATTATGTGAGACGCAGTCGCGCAGGTTGGCCAGTGAGAAGAAGCTGCGGCTGGCGTCCAATTTGGATGCCCAGAAAGAGGATGGGCACATTTATGATGACCAGACCAGGTGCAAGGCCAGTGGAGCCCCACAAGGGTGATGTCCCCTGCCGACTTTTTTTGTTTTGACCCCAATGATCTGACTCTATGTTTCAATCTAAAGCTTAAAACCAGCTCCATAGTCCAAACTTTGACATGCCGCATTTAGATTTTGGCATCCAGCAGCCAGTGTTCAATATGCGCAACAGACTCAAGCTTTCAAAACCACCAAAAGGTTGGCTCATGAAAACATAATATGTTTGCTTTGGCAAATGCTAAATTGGTTTGCTTTTGGAGTATCTTCAGAAGTCCAAACCAGGAAGGCCTCATGCTTGCATTCAGCGGCATTGGATGGTACTTGTACCGTAGGTGACCGGTAATACCTAGAGTGGTGACTTTGGGGTGTGCAGGCTAGGACGATCTCCCGCCTGGCCGCCTCACCTCGCTGACCCCTCCGGCGAATCCCAGTGCCGACCGATCGGTGAGAGAGCGACCAAGACTTGGTGGCCCAGGGTCCCAGGGACCGCGTCGTCTTTGGGACCAAGTAGGAGTCCCAAAGTAGGGTCCCACAATCCCAGGGTCCCAGGCTTAGGGTCCCAGGTCCCAGGGCTTTTGTTCCAAGTAGGAGTTCTTTGGTCCCCCAAAAAACCCTCCTACTTGGAGGCTCCTGGCGGACTGGACCCAGCATGGGACCTCCTCACGACGAGGAGCTGAAGATGAAGATGGAGACGGCCACGGAGGATTTGGCCACCTTGCCCCGGCCCTCAATATGAGATGCTGGTGTTCTTGAATATGCAATTGGCTCAGGTGAAGAACGTCTATTTCAAAGATTGCTCCAGTTCAACGCACATATATCATTATATTAGGTATAGGATGGTATAATTATACAAACACTTTGTAGTCCTATTCTAGTTTTCGAGGACTGGCCAAGGAACGCTCACCTGAGCCTTTGGGGAGCTGACAAACGAAGATTGGCTCTGCACTGCAGAGCCTTTTCCACTTGTCAACTGCAAGCACAGGTGAACATGTACAGGGTGGTTCTAGGAGAAGGTACAGCGCAGATACAGCAGCCCGGGTAGTTTTGCAAGTTTGACAAGACATGCTTACTTGAGGCAGAGTGACATCAAGGAGCAGGGCCAGAGCTTTCTGGGATTCTGATCGAACCAATCCTGCACCACCATCACCACCTATGTCATAGTGATTCCAAGGGAAGAGTTCCATCGTTCAGCGGCACAACGGGTCCAAAGGCCAGAGGTGTCTTTTTGAGCCTCCAGGAATGGGTTCAACAACATGCCGATGATGCACTCACACAGAGAGAGAGAGAGAGATTGCTGCGTCACGGAAGCAAACCCACATCAAGCAGATGCCCTCAGCGCCGGCCAGGAGCTGCAGAAACAGCAAACCTTGGCCTCTCAGAACCGGGAGAAGGACGGGCCCAGAACCTAAGAAAGCAGAAGGCTTGATCAGTTGATATGACTTGATATGAGTCCATAAGCATCCAGCACCAGGTGTTTACTTTGGGGGGCAGGGCCAAATCCCGAGCTCCACCGCCTTGGAACTGGTCCAGTCAGACATGGCGCTGGTTGATTGTGGTGACACCGGTGGGGAACGTAGAAAACGGGGGGAAGAACGGAGGCGAGTCCGAAGGGATTTCCCAACTTCCGGTTTGGCTTGCGGCGGTACAGACTGAGGACCCCAAAAAGGAGTGGAACCATCCACTCGGAAGCTCCCCCTTCGCTTTGCTTGGCCGAGACTGAGGCGAATTGGCCCAAGATGAAGGCTAGACGTTCAGGATACATGCTCAATATGTTCCCCAGCTGTATATAGGATATGCTGCGCTTCATACTTCAGACAGCTTCGAAGAAAGCTTCGAATCTCAAAAAGGAGGTCCACAAGCAAACAAGCTGTCAAATTCAGAGGCGCAGAGGCGCAGAGGCGTCACGTTGGAGTAGATAGAAACCAGATTCAAGATAGATCAACACACACACACACACATGAACTACTTCATACATCCAAGCTTGCCTGGCCGCCGTTTTTGTGCTTCCCAATGCCGGGCGTGTGCCTTGACCATCGATTGTGACAGCGCTGACAGCGCTCGGATGAAAGCCACGTTTCGGCGGGACTTGATCTCAAGTGAAGTGCGAGTTCCCTTGGTTTGCCCTTGAACCGGACCAAGGGGCGTGAATCCGGTAGAGACCAAGGCGGGGTGCCGGTGGAGACGTCGGGTCCACGGATGAGTTTCCACGTAAGCGACTTAAGCTTTGGTCTGTGTCTTCGGGTCATTGACTAGAGTGAGAGTATATTCGGTATATTGGCGATTGGTTTTGCAACATGGGAACCAGCTTGGGAAGGAGATGGCCGGCCTCCTCGAGCCACAAGATAGATACTTGATGCAGCTTTGACAGGATTGAAAACAGGGAGGTGGGCCTGAACGGACGTAGCAAACAAAGCTCCTGCCAGAGTTGGCAGAGCATTTCCTGGCCTCAAGCCTCCAATGGCGTTGTCAAGGACGCAGGTCATCATTGGAGAGTATCCCATGCCATGTCAATGAGTCAGTGTGTATCAGAAGCTGCCAAACAGCCCTTGGACACCTGAAAGCCTCGGGATTGGTAGACCCCTCCAAATTGAGGGTCATAAAGCCTTCGCTTCCAAGGATCAAGATACAGTATTGCGTGCGGGAGCTTGGAGTTGAAAGGCTTTGGGAGGGCTGGGTGAAGGTCGGGGGTGAAACATTTTCTGGCTTGGGGGTTTGAAACGAAACCTCATTCCTCAAAACCTTGGAGCTTTGACACCCCGGCCCCCCCCGTGAGTTTGTGTTGCCCGAAGCTTCTTTGGCTCTTTCAAGCCCTGTGGGCCAAGTTCGTTTCCTTCACCCAATGTTTCCTGGCATGCTGCTCTGTCAACAAAATGAGCAAAAAAGGAGTTGCAGCCTCCAGAGTCTCCAAAGGAAAACTCCGTTGCTCCTTGTCTAGCCTGAAAAACCGTCTCTTGATCTTGAAAGGACTTTCCTTGTCCAGGCTTCGTTTCAAGACGAAGGAACCTGCCCAGTTCCCGGAGCCCAGTTTGGTCTCCGCGTGACGCTGGGGTCTCCCACACGAGGTGCTGCTCGAGCCATGCTGAGTCTATAGGGTTGAACCGAGCCATGCGGAGTCCAAGCACATCCAAGCACCAACTTTGATCACCGGTCGCATGAAGAGGGGTCCATGATCTGGTGCGAACGGACTGATCTGACAGCGTCCAGGACCCCCTCTTGGTCTTGACTGAGTCTGTCGCATCCGGAGTTCACATCGTCACATCCCGGATTTGGCCGTCCTGGACGGTCTCTCTGAGCGCTCAGAGAGGGCGCTCAGAGGGGCACTCTCTCAGCTAGGTGAAATGCAAATGGCAATTGAGAGCTGCATGGTTGGCACAGGAGCGGAGCCGCCACCGAACCGCTTGTGTGCCGGTGAGCGGCCGGATCTCAGGTGATCAACATGGACCAGTATGCAAGTCCCCAATCCTCTTCTAGAACTGATATACACTGGACCTATTCAAGTGCAGGGGTGTGTACTTTTGCTGTTTCGGACCAAGATTCCTCTCGGTGCAAAGGTATGTTATGCTCCACTTTCGCGCGTTCCTGGCGCAGTCAGTGAGAATAGTGGCAACCTCCTCCAGGTAAGTGGACTGTGCCATCAAAATCGCATTGACTCAAGTGGCTGACGTGTGCGGGCATGTACTTGTTACTTGCAGAATGTTGCAACCTCAGCTTCGCAGACAAAATCATTTTTGGATATTTTTGGTGGATCAACTCGTAAGCAGCTCACACTGCTGTTTGCACATGTTTGCACCATTTTCGTTTTCACTGTGAGCCTGAAGAATGCTCAAACAATCCCAGCACAACCCACGCCACCCAGCAATGCTGTTCTCACTGTCACCAATGTATGACACTTGCCATCATTTGCCAGGAGCTGCTCTCAACCTTTGAGCAAGACGACATTATCACTGAGGCATCTAGGACCTGTGTGATCAGATATGGCCCCAAACGATCTCGTGCGATCAGACGAGATGGGGTCGTTGAGAGCGACGCCCCAAGCAGTCGAGAGTGGAGATTCTCGGTCCTCCAAGAGAGTTCAAACGGTTCAAACGACTCTCGAGTCGAGGAACAATGATGGAAACACCATCTGAATCTTCTATCAGGAACATCGTCCAATATCGTCCAATCAGAGGCATTCTTCAGGTATATCATGGTATATCTGCAGCCCTCAACTACTGTGGCTCTTATGTATTTTTTCTCACTCCTGCCACGGCATTGTTCGCCGTCGATCGAACGGGCATCCAATCAACAGGTCCCGGGGTTTCTCAAGTTTCTCAAGAAGACACCTCCGTGGTTGCCGAGCCTCGCAGGTGTGTTTGGTGCCGAGCCTGAAAGTCTCCGGTGTCTTCGAAGTCACCTGCGACCAGCAGACCGCTGGAGGGCCTGGTCGGGGCGGTGGGGGGGGTTTGGGCAGGCACCCAAATGGCGACCATTTGGAACCTTGGAACCTTGAAAGAGGGAATTTTTTGTATACCCTACTAGGCCCTAGGGCTCCTGGCGCACATCCGAAGTCCAAGGTGGGAGGTGTGGGATGGGGCCAGCGGGGGTCTAACCACCAAAGCTGAGGATATGGTTGGAGCCCTAGGGGTATAACATTAATGAACATCATGAAAGGCTTTTGACACTTATGGTCTGATGCCGGTGTCAATTTCACTGTATGATCCTAATTATATGTTATTCCATTCCATACGATGATTGTTCCCACATAGATAACTACTATTGCTTGGCTTGGGGCTTGGGTTTCCAGGAAACCACTGTTTTTTTTGGAACCCAACTGTGCGTGAGTGAGTGAGTGAGCGTGTGTCTTCAGTGACGCCAAGGGCGTCACTGGAAAAAAGGAAAAGCTCGTATGCTGACCCATCGCGCCAAGTGTCTCCTTCAGCAATCCAATCCCACGAGCCGAGCCATCTTAGACGTCCCATCTTCAGTGGATGTACAGAACAAAGAGCACTCACTCGGGGGTATGGAGCCTCAACCAATCCAAATCCCCACATGGATCAATGCATTCAGGATCTGGATCGAACCATCCATCAACTTCATCAACCCATCCATCAACTTCATGGACCGACTCCACTCCACCGGTCGCTGCCCGTCCACGGGCGCCGCGCCTCCAGGTCTGGTCCCGGAAGGCCGAGGGGCGTTTCCCCGAGGCGAAGGAGTTGAAGCAACGCGTGCGCGACGTGTTGGTGCGGGCCGCCGGGCGTGCGCCCGTTTGGATCATACGGGCGTTCGGAAGGGTCATGAGTGAGTCATGAGTCAGGAGGAGTGTAGGTGGTGGAGTGGATGACCATGGGGGGATGGACCTGATTTGCACCTCAAATGAGGTGGCTTCGTGACGTGTACGACAAGACCTGCAACGGGACAATGTGGTGCATTTTCACCATGCCCGTAAAAAATGAGCTTGATCCCCAAAGACCCAGGGATGGATTTTTTAAAGCCATGGCCTTGGGATGTCGAAGGGGGAAGGAGGAAACATGGATCTTCTGCGATCCGTACCGATAAGAGGCTCCCAAAACAGGTTTCCGGTGTGGTTCAAAAACACATTGACCCACCGATCGGAGTTTTCCGTTTGGAAAAGTGGCTTCGGGATGGGACTGGATTCTTGAGCCATAGCCGTAACCTATACAGGGTCACCATACTCATGTGGTTTGGTTCGACAACGGATGCGTGCAAATGAGGTGCCCAGCAAAGATTTGGGCCATTCAGATACTCCTGCGGCTCAGATGCACAGAAGACGGCTGAGATGGCGTTGTTCACTCGTGGAATTCAATGAAGCATAATGAAGACTCTTGATTAATCAACCCCCCCCGGCCCCCCCCCCCCTCAACAACCAGGGCCTCCAATATAATGTATAAGAAAACTAATCAAAGGACCAAAATGAAAAGAATCCTTATTAAAATCTTCTTGGTCTTCTCTGGCAATATTAAAAATAGAAGGGAATCAATGACATCTCAAATTGAAGACATTTGGAATACTAAAGTAAAAGGAAATCAATAAAGTGGAAATGGAATTCTCAATATGTTAATGGAAATCTCAATCCAAAGACCTTCAAAAGCATCCAATCTCAAAGGAAATCTTCAACTTTTCAAGAGCTTGGGTAAGTAAAGCAAAGCAAAAGGAAAAGAAAGGGAATGAATACACGTTTACTTAAAGCAAAATATTTTTTAAAATATGTTTTTGGCTTGAAATCGCTAAGACATTATTCTAGGGGCCCCCCTAAATAATGCCAGAAAGCTGCTTGCTGGACTACCCCTTTTGCTTGAATGATTTTTTTCAATATTTTTGAATAAGGGATTGTGTAAAGAAAGTGTGCACTGACGTTTGGAAACGTTTGGAAAGCTTAAAGACTAAAGAGCTTAGGTAAGTAAAGCAAATCAAAAGGAAAAGACAGGGAATGAATACACGTTCACTTAAAGCAAAATATGTTTAAGCTTGAAATCCCTAGACATTATTCTAGGGCCCCCCCTAAATAATGTCAGAAAGCTGCTTGCTGGACTACCCCCTTTGCTTGAATGATTTTTTTGTTTTTCAATATTTTTGAATAAGGGATTTTGTAAAGAAAGTGTGCACTGACTGTTGGAAACTTTTGGAACGCTTAAAGACTAAAGAGCTTAGGTAAGTAAAGCAAATCAAAAGGAACAGAACGGGAACAAATACAATTACAAGTTTACTTAAAGCAAAATATGTTTTAAGCTTGAAATCTCTAGACATTATTCTAGGCCCCCCCCTAAATAATGTCAGAACGCTGCTTGCTGGACTACCCCCTTTGCTTGAATGATTTTTTGTGTTTTTCAATATTTTTGAATAAGGGATTTTGTAAAGAAAGTGTGCACTGACTTTTGGAAACTTTTGGAAAGCTTAAAGACTAAAGAGCTTAGGTAAGTAAAGCAAATCAAAAGGAAAAGGAAGGGAATGAACACAAGTTTACTTAAAGCAAAATATGTTTTAAGCTTGAAATCCCAGCAAACTCAAAAGGGAAAAAGTAAACTATAACAAAACCACATATTCTACTACAACTATCCCTGCCAAAAAAAATACATTATTCTGGGGGCCTTTATTAATCAGTGCAGGAAAAAAATACATTATTCTAGGCTGAGGCTATATCCCAGACACTCCATGGGACTGCCACAAAAGCCGATCAGTTGGGGTGATTTTGGGGGTCAATGGGGCGGCATATATGGCAGTCCCATGGAGTGTCTAGGTATAGGTGACCCAGACCATAGGACCTGGGGTACCCAACTGGGATAGGCAAACGTTCGGGTCCTGACACACCTCTGTTGGGATTCCAAAGGTAGGCCACCCAGGGGCCTTGGTCCCTCAAAACCCTAGGGAATTGAGACTCCAGACCCCTCCAGAGGATTCGGGTCCGACCCCTCCATATGAGGGCCCAGGGTCGCGTCTGGGCAGGAGTGTTCTTTTTGGGGTAGTACGGGGTCAATGGATCGGCATTGATTCCACTAGGGAAAAAGTGTTTCAACCGGAAAACTGACTCATGACCCACCTCTGCAGGATCCCAAAACACTAACCCTATGCATCCACATGCCCTCTGAGAAGGTGATGGACATCTCTTTTATGCATATTTGAAGGGTCCAAATACCTTCTGAAAAGGTATGTGGATCAATAGGGTAAAACATAGTAAGACTAAGAACCCTTAAGACAAAGACTGGGCGTTCTTTGGCCATGTTGGCCACCGCAGGTGATGGTATTTACCCCTGCGGATTGTTCCGCCGGCCCTTTTGGCTGAGGGGGGGGAGGGG